AATAAATACGCCTCAGGCTGAAGGAAATGTAAATTCATGTCTGTAGAGGGCGCAGCTCAAACTAATTGCATGAAGAATATTGATGCAGGAGAAGAAAGTTCAACACTATTCAGCAATAAAAATGAAACACAAATGTGTCATTTTTGCTTATTAGTATGGTTGATTTGGATCATCTAAGGTTAGTAGCATTGGTTAATAAAATGGGATTAAATGCATAAATGATATGTGTCTTATTTAACATATTTAATTATTGCAGGTTTGTATAATATTCTGAGTTTGCATTTGACTGTTTTTATTCATTTCGAGGAATACTGAATCTGTTTTTGTGCAGGTGAGATGAGTAAATACATGTTTATATTTTGTCTAGAATTACAGTAACATCATGTTCACACAACACCTCTGTACTTACTCCCGATTTCTCTCAACATGGGGACAGAAGAGCTCTCAGTCAATACATGGGAAAACAAAGTAACTGGCATTACTTATTTGAAAACGTAACTCAGATATTTCCTAATAAATTAAAAAGTAATGCATTACTTTACTAGTTACTTAAAAAAAGTAATCTGATTATGTAACTTGCGTTACTTGTAATGCGTTACCCCCAACACTGCTGGTATCTGCTACAACCTGGAAAAGTTCCTAAACTTCTGATTTACTATACAAGTAAACTTACATCTGGAATTTCAGACAGGTTCAGTGGAACTTATTCTGGATATGAATTTATGCTAAACATACGTCAAGTCCAGCTTGAGGATGAAGGAGAATATTACTGTAAGGGGACTTATTCTAATACAGTGTGGACTTTCGGTGGAGGCACTCGACTCTCAGTTGGAAGTAAGTAAATCTCTTTCTATTTTACAAAATATTTATATAAAAAAAGAAAACTACAGAACAAGAGATATGAGAACAAACTAGGATTTAAAAAAAAATTACAATGTGTAACATGACCACAGTCGATAATTTATCTAAATGGTAAATTATAATTTAATTGTTTCACATGGGAAATATACCTTACTCTTGTTTCAGATGTCAGTTACATTACTCTATAATTGGACACTAAACAAATATAAAAATCTAAATATATTGTTAAATATCAAATTATAAATCTAAATGTCTAATGATTCGTTGTGTAACGAAATTTTTTTTTCTTTTATACTTGGATATTTTAATAAAGAAACAAAACACAAAATCTTAATTTTCTGTGAAATATTTATTGAATAAAACAAAATAATTTTCTTTTTAAATTCGGAGTATGCTATTACAAATCAGAATCTGAGAGCTAGATATTTAAAATCAGACATATGTACATTTTAGTCTGATATAGTTATACATCTTGTTTTTTTACACTAACCTAATGCATTAGCCAACTAACAATGAACAATACATTTCATATGTTAATCATTCATTAATAAAAATTATAGTTCATGTTAGCTCAGATCCACTAAATAGTTTTTTACAAAACTTTTTTATTTAAGTATATGTTGAATTTAACATTAACTAAGATTAATAAATGCTTTCAACTAACCAGTGTTAGTTTGTGTTAACTATAGTTTTCTAAGGTTCAGGTGAACAAATGAAACCTTATTATTAAGTTTTACCATATATTATAATGAATACTGATTATCTAAAATCTGAATATTATGAGTCAGTAAATGTGTTTTTATGGACTGCTGCACTTCAGATCTGCTTGATTAACTCTGAATCTCTTAAAGGGAAATATAATACATTTGAATTCATTCACGTCAAAAATAGAAATAAATGGTTAATAAATAAAATGCTGCAAAATGTATTTGTATTGTTTTTGAGGTAAATTCCAGGATGCATCTGAATGTGTTTTGCAAGTGTTTTGCATATTAACTGAACACTGCGCTTAAAACTCCACTGATGATTATTAGTGTGTGACACCAACATGTGTGAAACAATGATTTCTCTTATTCTGATGCTGTGGACACTTGCTCAAGGTACAAAAATATATTTTTACATTATGACAAAAAAAAACTGGAATTTATTTAAAGATTTGAATGTGTGCTTTGCTTTTTATTTTGTAGTGTATTTAGTTGAATGGTTTTATAATTTTGTTTTTGTTGTCTCTCTCAGTGTCTCACGAAGAGGTTCAGTCTCCTGAGTCTCTGTCTGTTAAAGCAGGAGATTCTGTCTCTATCAGCTGCACTGGGACCAGCGGAGTTGGTGATGACATGAGCTGGTATCTGCAGAAAACTGGAGAAGCTCCTAAACTCCTGATCTACGATGCCAGCAATCTTGCATCTGGAGTTTCAGACCGGTTCAGTGGAACTTATTCTGGAAATGATTTCACACTGAACATACGTGGAGTCCAGCCTGAGGATGCAGGAGATTATTACTGTATGGGGTATTATGGTGGTGGAGTGTGCACACAGTGAAACAGCATCGTACAAAAACCTCCCTCAGTCTGACACACTGAAAATATGTGAATGCTGAGTTCACAATAGCAATATCATAATTAATCTTACTCACTAGTTAGTTCAGTATGAATGAAATTTGAATAAACATATTCTGGCTCTGTTTGTAACCAAACATATTCTTACATTTATCCTTTTAATTGTTTTAACCCTAAAGACAATAACACAAGCTATGTGCCATAATTTGTACCATTTTAAACAACAGTGGGTAAGATTTTAATTATTCAGTCTGTTCATGAAATTTTAATTGTCATTATTTCAGCTGAAAAGAATAGAAATGAAGAAAGTTAGCCTTATGTCAATGATCTCCAATTATCTTTGACTCAGTTGTCAAGATTCTACAACTTTCAAGATTCAAGATTCATAGGCTGCAATAACTGTTCAAATGCAGCATGTATAAAACACATCCCATTAATCTGTATATGAACATGAAATTAGACAATGAAAAAATTCCAAGAGCCCCCACCCCTCCCATCAGCTTTTAGGACGCACTCAAAGAGGGATCACAGATGACAAATAAGAAACACCATGGCAGGTGTCGATTTAAAAGTATGCTACTTTTATTTCCTACCTTATTTGTAAATGAAATTCATCTCCAATCCTTCTTCTATCGTTTCAGGTTTATCCATTGTTATTCGAATGCTAGAAAAAATATAGCTGGTTGTCCAAGTAAAAACCACCAAATAACGTTTACACGTAGTTACGTTATGATAGGCCTGCGTAATATTCAGAGGGAGATGAGGGACTCCCCCGCTCCATATGTATATGCATCCGCTAAAGGTTTTTTATTTTATTTATTTTCTTTTTTTAATTTGAGTGAATATGAGTTAAAACTCCCAGGTGACACTACTCCAGTAACAGACCATGCAAAATACCCAAAATAATAATATCTTTAAAGTATTGCCAAGTAACTTTGCAACATGGCAAACAACAATAAAATCAGAGAAGGACTTTAACGACACGAACAATAGCATGTTAATGTTCAAAATGTTCAGAGGATTCATGTTTCTTTCTTTTCCTGATGTTTTTTATTATTAAAATTGTATATAGCCCACATTTTTATATAAAAAAATGTATTTACCAATTAGGCATGTTGACAATAACGTAGGTTATATCTTCAACATGCATACCTTGTCTATGACCAAAAATGTAAAAAGATATGTTTTCAGTGGACTGAAACATAAAAATACAGTTACAGTGTTTTTTTCTTTTGATTTAGTCGAGTTGGTTTTGCATCAAGCACAAAGTGATTTTCGGCAACCGAGATCTGACAGCAACAGCACATTTTTCTGCTTCATCTTTACCTCGCGCATGAAATCAGCCGCAGGCCAGTAAACCAATGAGAAGGCGCTATAATCATGACGAGTCATAGCAACAGAGCGGAGACGAGAAAGCTGCCGAGAATCAACACTAACTTATTTGTTGACCAAAGTCTTCTCAATACCATGTCAAACAAAGACATTCGTTCAATTATTAATAGATCTCAGATTTCTTTTCCTGCTTGTGTGAGTTTTTGGAATAACATATTTAGTGATATAGAATGGGAAGAGTTTTGGCTTCTTCGACAAAAATTCTTCTTATCTAATAAAGTTGTTGAAGTCTCTATCAAAATTATCCATAATTGTTATCCGGTAAATTATAAACTTGCTAAATTTAACAATAGTATTTCCCCCTATTGCTCCTTTTGCCTTCAGTCTGAAGAAACATTCAATCATTTGTTTTGGGACTGTGCTTATTCTAAAGTGTTCTGGGTTGACTTTTCCCATTTTGTTAACAAATATTTATATCCAAACTTTTGTATAACCCCCAAAATTTTGGTTGCTCTTTGAATTTAGACCCTTCTCACTATAAATGTATTATTAATCTATTGCTATATCTTGCTAAATTTTACATTCATAAGTGTAAATTTTCAAAGAAAACTCCCTATTTTCAGGAAAGATTTTGATGTGTATGTAAACTCTTTAAGAAACTCAAATAATTCTATTGCATGTAAGACTCTTTCGTGGTGTAAGTCTTACAAGCTAACATAGTATGCTTTGGAGTATTGTTTGTGACCCTTATTGTCTTTTGTTCTTGTCTTTGTAATTGTATTTGCTGTTCTTCTATTGCATAATAAAAACATTTTTTTTAAAAGCTGCGGAGAATCCGCTCGCCCGGAAGCAACCGCAACTGACGTAGATTCACAGAAAATTACTCCCGTTTGGCAAATAAATCATTTTATGTACTTATTCCTACCTCTTTAAGCTTTAAGTTACATTTCAAATGACAAGGGATCAACTTATAATCATGTTTATATTAATTATCCCGTGAACTTATTCTCTCAAATGGCCTGGGTATGCGAAGCATTCGCAGCTTATATGGACGGAAAGTCACTGCCATAATTCTCTTTTTAATTATATTTTCAATTTTAAAATGTGAGAATGTCATGTGAGTATGTCATGCTCCTCACAACCACAACATGTACATTATACTTTATTTCAGGGGTGCCCAATCCTGTTCCTGGAGATCATCTACCTGCAGAGTTCAGTTCCAACCCTGATCAAACACACCTGTCTGTAATTATCAAGTGCTCCTTCAGATCCTAATTAGTTGGTTTCATCAGGGTTGGAAATGAACTTTGAAGGAAGGTAGATCTCCAGGAACAGGATTGGGCACCCCTGCTTTATTTCATAATATATATTATAAAAGTAATGATCAAACATGTAACAGTTTTCATTTAATTTTGTAGAATTGTTGGTATTTAAATGGTATGTGAAGTCAGACATCATGATCAACATCTTGTTCCTGGATGAACATCATTTGTTAGTTCTGGAACATTCATTGTGTGTGCTAAAGAAACTCTCGTCATAAACTTCAGCACAAATAATAGGGAAATTATAGGTTGATAAGAATGCTGAATCTTTCTGCAAGTTACAGTCCTGGTAAGAGACAAAAATGGTATGTCTTTAAGGAATCATTAAATCAAAATTACCTGCTCAGCTAGATTAACAATTGAAATTTGTTCCTTGACAGTACGAGAGGTTGTTGTTCTCAGAAAGAACATTTACATTGTGAAGACACTTTGCATTAAACTTCATGCTACAGTGCCCTGGAGGTCTTTATAGATCTGTGACTTAATGATTTTATGACTGACAGCTCTCCTTCTTGATAACAGATCCTAAAGCAAACATGACTTTGATAACCGTCATTATTTGGACACTCACCACCTGCACCTGGAGTAAGTAAATGCCTATAGAAATTCATATCATCAGCTGATTTACAGAAAACTAGAAAATAAGCAATCCACAGATTCTCAGGTGCTGAGATCAAGATTTAGTTTAGACTTAATTTCCTGCAAATATATGCATTAATTAACTTAAATTCTTATTTTTTGCCATTTTACCCGAGCATGTGCAGTACAAATTACATTAACACTGACCTTTAACTATGTTTTGATCTTCAAGTCAAGTCCTTCATTGTCATTATGTATGATCTGTTGAATGGGAAAGAATGCTTAGTCTTTTTAGTGCAACAGTTAGAAACATTGTGTGCTCAACCTGGCAGATTACTAGTAAGTGTGATTTTAAATGTGCTCATCAGTTTTATATTATTTTACAGTGTTTTCTGTGTCTCTCTTCAGGTTCTGTGGGGCAGATTGTGACTCAATCTGAAGATCAAACAGTGAAGCCTGATCAGACTGTCACTATTCAGTGTAATCACAAACCAGCAGTAAACTGTATTAAAAAAGATACCTCTCAGGATTGCATGTCCTGGTACCATCAGATTCCTGGAGAAGCTCCTAAACTCCTGATCTATTACACATCAGACAGAGCTTCAGGTGTTTCTTCTAGATTCAGTGGCAGTGGAAGGGACACAGCTTTTACTCTGACCATCAGTGGAGTCCAGCCTGAAGATTCAGGATTTTATTACTGTCAGAGTGAACATGGTATAAAAAAAGACTCTGGGACCACAGACTGGGTGTTCACACAGTGTAAAAGCATTGTACAAAAACCTCCTTGGGTGATAGAGCAGCGCTGCAGCTTTGAGCTTCTGCAGATGTTGATGTTGAAGATCATTATTCACCTCACTGACTCACAGATGATAAAGAAAAGCTCATGGCCAAAACCAATGAAATGAAAATAAATTTCACATTCTATCTCATTTCACATTCTAGTTAATTTTGTACCTAATTATTTTTGTAAGATAATGCAGCATACCCATTTATGTCATAGATAATTTCCCAAATGTACGCCTGTATATAGAAATGACTTGTGTTGTATGTAATTAAATAAAAATACAAGCAATACAATATTAATAATGTCATAGATTTAATTACATATAAATGTCTTCCAGTATATGCATAATTGAATGCTCTTCCATGATTTAGTTATTAATAATTAAATATTAGGGAATGTGATCATTTATTTCACAACCCTATTTTTCTCAGAACAAAATCTACAATATGAAAAGATTTTGTAAAATCGATTTTCTAAAATGCTGTCTAATTTTTTCTGGTTCACATTTATAATGTGATTCATTCAGCATTTATTCCACTTCCACTTAATTTATTCTGTACATTTCCTGACAGGAGTCTGTGTGGAGAGTGTTTTGCATGTTTACAGCTTCACACACAAAACTGTGTGTTGAGTCACAATCATGTCTCTTTTACTAATTCTGGCTACACTGGGTCTGCTTGCACAAGGTTCAAACTTATTTTTCCACATTATCAGGGCATTTAGTATTTATCTTTGCAAAGCTTGTGCTTTTTCCTTTTTTAATTGCAAATATTTTTATAAATTATGTCAACATCTCATAATATATATTTAAAGTAACACTTTAAACACCTTTTGCTCTCTCTCTCTCAGTGTCTCTTCAAGAGGTCCAGACTCCTGAGTCTGTCTGTTAAAGCAGGAAATTCTGAAAGCTCCTAAACGCCTGATTTACAATACAAGTAACTTTGCATCTGGAATTTCAGTCAGGTTGAGTGGAAATTATTCTGGATATGTATGTATGCTAAACATACATTTATTCTAAAATGGTGTTCACACAGTGAAACAACATCATACATACACCTCCTCAGTCTAATGCCACAGTGAATGTACTCAGTAACTATGTACTAATTTCTATTACATGAGAAATTAATTCCTCAGTATGAACAGAATATTTAATCAATCTAATATGATTCTGTGATGAATTCATTAATTTTGTTCATTCATCCTGTTCAAATGCATAAATCCTGACACCCATGTGAAAATTCCAGTCTATTTGCCCCAATTTTAATGTAATTACGTAAAATAAGCTAAAAATGATCATTAAAGTCATATTACTGTCAATGAGATTTTTCAAATATCTTATTTTAGATATTGAAATAACATACTAAAAATAATAAACTAATAACTACTAATACTACTAATAATAAAAAATAAAATATTTCATTAATTAAATGCAGCCAAAACATTTTTTTTAATTGAAATATAATGATTAAAATGCAATGTTAAAATAAATATCTGTTTTGGTGTAATTTATATTTTCAATATTAAAATATTCTCTAGGCTGCTCATCACAATATTACATGTCCTAAAAAAACACCAATAAAAATGGTACAGCATTTCATATTTTTGTAGTAATTCAGCACCACGTTTAAGACAAAATGCATTTATTTGGCAGCAAAACATTAATAGCATTGCAGTTGTAGAATTACAACAGATAAGCATATCTGAACAATAGACTAACAGCATGAAAGATTAGTTGCTGAGCATTGGCTGATTTAGGACTGTGTGTGTGTATTTCACTGGTCATTGCACTGCTGTGTGTCGAGGCTGTTGGTCACTGCATTGTGGGACGGGTGCGTGGCGTCACAGCTGACGGTTGTTGCTCTGCTCCACTCACTCTCAGTGAGGCTCAGGCTGCTGCTCCAGCTGTACAGTCCATCCTTCTGCAGCTGACTGGGACTCAGATTGACACCAGAGCTCCTGCTGCTGCCGTCCACCTTCCAGCTCAGCTTCCAGTCAGAGGGGAATCCCTTACTGGCCACACACAGCACTGTAGCCTTACCCTGCTGCAGCTCGTCTCTGGAGGGAGGCAGCACTGTGAGAGCGGGACGAGCCGCAGCTAAAGAGAGACACAGATGGAAACTGTGATGTTTCATTCTTCTGAAAAACAGCTCTATCAGTCTTTCTGAGTGTCTTTCACTTCCCTTTAAGAGATTCAGAGTTAATCAAGCAGATCTCAAGTGCAACATCCTGTAAAAACACATTTCTTTAGCAATCACACCCAGGACATTGCATAGACTTCTATTGATTTTATCAGGTTAATGATATTTGCTATCACCTAACCCAACCCCTACCCCTAAACTTATCCATTACAGAAACATTTGTAGAACACTACATTTAAATTAAAAAATATTTTGGCTGATCTATAAGACTTTTTAATAGTGAAGACCAGTAAAATGTCATCACACTAGTGGGTTGTCAAAGTAATTCACAATATAAGTGAGGACGTTTGGTTCTCACAAATATCAAAACAAGTACACACACACACACACAAACACATAAAACAATCATAATATAATTTGATATTAATTAATTTGGCAGACACTTTTATGCAAAGCAACTTAAATTGCATTCCAGGTATACTTTATCAGTTTATGCTTTCCCTTGGAATCAACCCCATGATCTTGGTGTTGCTAGCACCGTGCTGTACTGTTTGAGCTGTAGGCATGGTTATCTTCAACATTTCAGGTTTCTACTTTTAATTTGTTCAAATTATTAAGTTATTTCTTATTAAAAATTCACTGTGCTACTTACAGTTACAGCTACATCAGATGAAGACATATATGTGACATTCATTAAAAGCATTTCATTAAAAATGTTTTCATTAATCTAGAATTATTAAAAACTTTTAATGATTATTTTACATTTAATAATTATTAAAAATAATTAAATAATATGAACTTTCTATAATTCCTAAGCTGTCTTACTATATTGACGCATAATAAAATGTATTAAAATAGATTTGTAAAGGTGAGTGAAAGACTGCATACTCATACAGACATTAACTTTCTATTTTATGCTAAATGAAAACACTGTTTGTCAAAGACAATTTACCATTCTGATGGATAAATGACCAATAATAAAAAAATTGGCTGTTTTAAATCGGTCTGAAGAAGAAATAAGAAAAGTGTGCATGTGTTTGATATTGTCACACCAGAGCAAAACTTTTCAATTATTTATTCTTATATTAGTCATGGGTATTATTTTTAAAAATGTGTTTTAAATACAAACAAATCCTCTCTTGTTATTTTAATTTAGTGTTTCATTTTTAAAATAGAAAGAGATTTACTTACTTCCAACTGAGAGTCGGGTGCCTCCACCGAACGTGCGCCACAGTGATACAAACCCAATCACCAGCTGTACAAAAACCTCCTGCACTAAAACTGACACTGACACTAACCAGTTTGCTATTCACAACTGATAGTAAGATAAAGCTGCATAATCAAACCTGTTTAATTTTAATAATGTCCCAAATCTACTACTAGAAAAAAAATACTATAGAATTATATTACTAAGAATAATGCTAATACAAACACTACCGCACTCTCAAGAACAAAAAAAAGCACCTATACTTTCATGTAAAATAATATTTAGGCATTTAGTCTTTTTTATTATATATACTACATTGCTACCTGATCTGTTCAGGTCCACATTTCGTTACTGTTTATCCACCTTATTTCATTCTGCACTTACTTTTAACATTCAGGTTGGTTCCTCCAACAAAAATCCACCACAATAATTTCTTCTCATTCACAGCAAAAAACCTTTTTTGAGATAACCAGACAAATTTTAATTAAACTATATGATTAACCTATAATTCAAATATGTATATATTACAAAGCTAATTGTCATATGAGTGAGAAGATACTTCAGTTCAGGAAGGGTTTTTCCACTGTAAAAATGTTTTGCATTGGCAGCTCATGCCTCAATGCTCTGAGTGTTTATAGTCCTGTCAAAACTTTGAAAAGGTCCTAGAATAGCTCTAAATCACAAGCCAATATGATTCTCTTCATCTGGGCATTTTACTGCATCCAAGGTAATTTCCTTTTCAAATCATACTGAAATAAAAAATTTTTATGCACTTAGTATTTTAATTTAGTTTTCTTTCTCTCACAGGTTCTTTTGGGCAGGTTGTCGTGACTCAGTCTGAGGCTGAATCAGTTCAGCTCGGTCAAACAGTCTCCATTGATTGTAAGGTCAACACTGTAGTTTATAGGAATCCATCAGGCTCAGTATCCAAAGATTACTACATCTTCTGGTATCTTCAGAGGCCAGATGAACCCCCTAAACTCCTCATATATTATACAACAATGAAGCCTTCAAGTGCTCCGTCTAGAATGAACGGTGGAGGCAGTTTTCACTCTGGAGGAAATGGTCTTGATTTCACTCTGACTATAAATGATGCTCAGCTTGAAGATGCAGGAGATTATTACTGTAAGAGTATCCATAAGATCAGTGACAATTGGGTATTCACACAGTAAAAACATGCTGTACAAAAACCTCCCTACTGACAATCTTCTGCAGATGCTTCTGAGACCTGCTGACAGGAGAACAAAAAAAGGGGTTTGCAATGAGTTACTGTTATTTTAAAAAAAATCTAGTTAACTACACAATCTTCCATATGAAAATCATCAGTGGAAATCCTGCTTTTCACATTACATATCTAATTACTATCATACAAATCAATTGTACTCATATGCTTCACACAAAGCAGAGAAGCAGAAAAAGCTTATTTTAATTAGAAACATCTTAGAAAAACAAACTGATAAATGTTCAGTTGTCTCTGTAATGTAAATGTTACCATTTATCCATATCATATTTAAGTTCAGTATAAGTGACTGAAACCTCTCCTCCAAGACAACTTTAATATAAAAGATGTGGGCTATTGATATGTGTAGCTAAGCAAGAATTACACCAACACTTGAAAACTGTAGGCCTACAACTTAAAAGGGAAGTGTATTCCCCCAGTATATCAGTCAATCTGAATAAATCATCCAAATAAAAATCTAAGGAATAGGACACAATAACAAAATGACAAATCATAGTAAAATATTTTATTATTTTGTAAATTAAGATTTGTAATTCTGGTTTTTCACAGTAAAATGAACCTGAAACAAACAATATCAAATAAATCCAGATCAATTATAAAACAGTATTTACCCTTAGTATGCTCATTTCATTAATTTAATTGTA